TTCATCAGACTGGACGGATAAATACGTTCTCGGTTGATGTCGAATGGAGCATGTGGTCGGCCCGGGCGCGCGGCGTGACGTGTTTGTGTCATTAGTGACGTCAGCTGGCGTTGGGCTCATCGACGCGTGAGCCACGCTTTAGCCAGCGGCCGGCGCGACGGTCCGCTGGTCTGGCCACATCTGGCCACCTTTCCTCGCATGACGTCACTGGAGCAGAGCAGCCACCCTGTGCTTCAGGGAGGTGGATAAAATGACAGGAGCAACATGTTCACTTCTTCTGCGGAAAAGCACCGCATGCATGAAGCACAGATTTACGCCCTCCTGCCTCATAATTTAGCCTGTCCTGTGTTTTCTTCTGTCCTGTCCTGTCCCGTTCTGCCGTGTCCATTCGTGTCCTGCCGTGTTCTGTCGCGTCCTGCCAAGCCTTGTACTGTTCTGTCTCGTTCTGCCGTCGTCCTGCCGTGTCCTGTCGTATCCTGCCGTGTCTCGTGTCCTGCCAAGCCCTGTACTGTCCTGTCTCGTTCTGCCGTGTCCTGCCGTGTCCTGTCGTGTCCTGCCGTGTCTCGTGTCCTGCCAAGCCCTGTACTGTCCTGTCGTGCTCACAAGTAAAGAACATGACACGACAGGTGTGGCAGCGTCACACCAGCTTTATTGGGGTGCCTCCAGGGACCTCTTTTCAACAGCTTTGGTAAACCAAGTTTTCAGGATTTTCTATTCTTGGCCCTGTCCTGACCTGTTTTGTCCAGGTTGGCCGCGCCATTTTCACTGGAAGACATTGCACGGCTCGTCCACTTGGCACCGCTACACCTTTACCGGGCATCTCTGCAGCTTTATTGAGCACCACTGCAGCTTTACCGGGCAGCACTACAGCTTTATTTTGCTGCAGTGCAGCTTCACCCCATGTTACTGAAACTTCACCTGATACTGCTGCAGTTCCAATCAACACTCGATAACATTACAGCTTTACTCGTAAACCCTGCAACGCTTGTCATCACCGCACTGCATGCGTAGCTGCGCCAAGCCTGCCCACAGAACAACACATGTACCTCCGACGTGGGGATGGCCCGACGGTGTAGGCGATTCGCCAAAGCTGAGATGTCGCTTGGTCCCAGTTAACTGCAGCCATTGCAATATTGGGGCACCAGCGAGTCATGTTACTCGCATGTTGCGAACATATGGAAACGTCTGGAATACGACGGCAATATGATCGACTTCTAACAGCCGACTACTGCCAATGACTAGGGTCAGGAATTTGTCCCGTCTACCTGAAAACACGGCCCGACCGCCGGCGGCGGCACCTCTGATCTCGGATCACCGGGAAATCCCTCGGCGGAACTTTCACCACCCCGCTTTAATAGCCCGTCCAGCTGCGGTCCTTTCCGCCTGCCCTTCCCCCCCCCCCCTCCCCAGCACTCCCCCTCTCTTTCCCTACGAAGGAACGTGACATGGGGCGACCCTCGGCCGTTGACGAGGACAAAAATGGCCTGTCCGTGAAGGGTCGGACGAAACGGCCATGGACAGACCACAGAAACGTTTTGCCGGCGGCCACACGTGAATAGCGTTGTGCATAGGTAGAGGAAGGGTAGATGGAGGAATCCACGCGTTGTTAGATACTTGTATTACAGCAACACTTTCATGTAAAACAGGTAGTTAAAAGAGCTCGTTAGTGGTAATCATCCACAGCCACAACGCGGCACGTCTGTACCCATTACTTTGCCTTGTCGATAAGACCAGCTCTTGGAAACGGATTAGCCAAAACGGAGCATGTATTCAATCAAATTGATGGCGTCATGATGGATTCAAAATCCTCGACTTTTGGCCGCGCTGTAACGCACTCATTCGCGAGTGTGCGACGGTCTCTCAGCACAGAACAGTCCGAGTGAAGCTGAGTCGAAATTGGATCAGGCATGTCAGCTGAAATTAGTTATGACTTGGCTCCGAAAAAAATGCAAAGAACACAGTTTATTTCTTACCTTTGTTTACTATCCACTTGGTGGCAACAGTAAGTTACCGATGCTGTTCGATATTAACAATTTCTACTTTAATTCTGAGGTGAATACCAATAACACCTTTGAAATTGGAACCTAACAGAAGCTGTGATGCAAATGTAATCACGGATTCACTGGCTTCGGGGTAGTTTACAGATCCACGTAAAATATTGGTAAACATGGAAGATAAAAATGTGAAACCTACTATGTGTGCAAGTAAATGCACCGCATACTCCAAACTGTCAGACCCACAACGATCCGATAATCGAACAGACAGCCGCCGATGTTTCCGCTTTTAATAACGGTCTTGAATAGCGCACGGTGTGGCCCGAGCCAAAAGACTGGGGCTTCGTGATCCAGATAAGCGTAATATTTCACTGCGACCAATGGTCATCTGAAAACTTTGTGTCTTTTGCATTGGTTTGGCCACAGTCACTTGCGATGTAAATCATTTCAAGTTAATTGGTTTCGATGATAAAGTTGTTTTGCCAGGTACCAACTACCAAGACCTCCAATCTGCAACTGATTTAATCTGTTGGTCATCCGATTGCGCATTAGCGATCGTGGTTGCCTACTGAACTCATAAAGTAAGAACTGCACTGATTAGATGTCTTTGCAAAGCTTCTCGAAGACGGCTGGCTCCATTCACTTCTGCTTGATATCATAAGCATGCCATTAAAATTCACCCTGGCTATCATCCCGCTCGTCCTACCCCTCAAAAAGCACGTACTCATACCTTCCGCAAAGGCCACCGTCCGCAGCTTATCGCGGGCTTAGTGGCGGATCGGCCCGAGCGTTCACGATCCTCTTCCGGCGTCTTTGGGACGCTCCCCGCCATGTGCAGTATGCACACCTGTCTGATCCGCCGGTAGGCCGGAGACAGCGGCGCGGCCGGGCTCTGGGTCTGCTCCGCCACCGCCGGAAGCCAGGCCGGAAGCCGGGAGGGAGAGGCCTGCAGCGTGGAGCAGGCGGCGCCCGGGCCGGCGGCGTGCCGCTCCGCCGTGGAGCAGGCGGCGCCCGGACCGGCGGCGTGCCGCTCCGCCGTGACGGCCTGCTGCCGTCGGTAGCGCGTGCGCTCTGCCGTCCCGGCCGTACCGCCGGAGTACCGCGTGGAGCAGGCAGCGCCCGGACCGGCGGCGTGCCGCTCCGCCGTGGAGCAGGCGACGCCCGGACCGGCATCATGCCGCTCCGCCGTGACGGCCTGCTGTCGTCGGTAGCGCGTGCGCTCTGCCGTCCCGGCCGTACCGCCGGAGTACCGCGTAGAGCAAGCGGCGCCCTGACCGGCGGCGTGCCGCTCCGCCGTGGAGCAGGCGGCGCCCGGACCGGCGGCGTGCCGCTCCGCCGTGACGGCCTGCTGTCGTC